CGGACGCTTAACCGACTGCGCCACCCAGGCGCCCCTCACTTAGCGTGTTTTTAAGGTACATTCACGTCCATTCATGTCATAGCATGTTTAACTTCTCCTTTATTGCTATGCATGTTATGTGGATATATATATTCGGTTATATGGATATACCACATTTCATTTATTCATTTGTCACTGATGGACATTAGGATTTTTTTCTACCTTTTGGCTCTCATGAAGTAACATTCACTTACAGGGCGCCTGGGTGGCTCAGTTGGTTAAGCGCCGACTTCGGCTCAGGTCACGATCTCACTGTTTGTGAGTTCGAGCCCCGCATCGGGCTCTGTGCTGCTGACTCGAGCCTGGGCTGGAGCCCGCTTCAGATTCTGGGTCTCCCTCTCTCTCTGCCTCTCCTCCACTTACACTCTGTCTCTCTCAAAAATAAACGTGAAAAAATTAAACAAATATTCACTTACAAGTTTTTGTATAAACACGTTTTCAGTTCTGTTGAATATATGTGCCTAGGAGCAGAACTGCTTGGTCATATGGTAACTCTGTTTAACTTTCTGAGGAATCGCTACGCTCTTTTCCACAGTGGCTGTGCCATTTTACCTTCCCACCAGTGACGTGGGAGGGTTCCAATTTTTTCACATTTTTTGCCAACACTTGTTATTTGCTTTTGTTTTTTCTTTTTAATTTTATTTCTATTATGGCCATCCTAGTTGTGTGTTAAGTGGTATCTCATTGTGGTTTTGATTTGCATTTCCCCAATGACTGAAGATGTTTAGCATTTTTTCTTGTTTACTGGACATTTGTACACATTCTTTGGAGGAATGTCTATTCATATCTTTTGCCCATTTAAAAATCATGTTATTTGTCTTTTTATTATTGAGTTATTTGAGTTCTTTATATATTCTGGATACAAATCCCTTATCCGATATATGGTTTGAAAATTTTGTTTCATTCTGTAGATTGTCTTTTCTCTTTCTTGATAATGTCCTTTGATTCACGAAAGTTTCTAATTTGATGAAGTCCAATTTATCTATTTTTTTCTTTGGTTGTTTGTGCTTTTGGTGTTATATCTAAGAAGCCATGGCCAGATCCAAGGTCATGAAGATTTACCCCTTCTTTTTTTCCTTTTAAGAATTTTATAGTTTTAGGGGCGCCTGGGTGGCGCAGTCGGTTAAGCGTCCGACTTCAGCCAGGTCACGATCTCGCGGTCCGTGAGTTCGAGCCCCGCGTCAGGCTCTGGGCTGATGGCTCGGAGCCTGGAGCCTGTTTCCGATTCTGTGTCTCCCTCTCTCTCTGCCCCTCTCCTGTTCATGCTCTGTCTCTCTCTGTCCCAAAAATAAATAAAAACGTTGAAAAAATTTTTTAAAAAAAGAATTTTATAGTTTTAGCTCTACATTTAGTTCATGAAACATTTTCAGTTACTTTCTGTATATGGCACGAGGTAGGGGGCCAACCTCATTCTCTGCATGTGCACATGCAGTTGTCCCAGCACCTTTTTTTGAAGAGTCTGTTCCTTCCCTGCACTGAGTGGTCTTGATACCCTCGTTGAGAACTAATAGACCTTAGATGTCTTGTTTTATGTCTGGACTCCCAATTCGGTTCCATTTGTGTATGTGTCTATCCTTATGCCACTACCACATTGTCTTGATTTCTGTAACTTTGTAGTAAGTTTTGAAATCAGGAACTATGAATCTTTCAATTTAGTTCTTTTTCAATAGGATTTTGGCATTTGGGTTCCCTTGCAGTGAACTTGAGGATTGGTGTTTCCATTTCTGCAAAGAAAGCTCATTGGGATTTTGGTGGGGGCTGCATTGAATCCATGAATCACGTTGGTTAGTATTACCATCATGACAATATTAAGTCTTCCACCTCATAAACACAGGATGTGTTTCCATTTATTTAGGTTATCTTTGATTGCTTTCAGCCATGTTTTCTAGTTTTCAGCGCACAAGTGTTTCACTACCTTAAATGTATTCCTTGGTATTTTATTCTTTTGATTACTGTTGTGAAAAGGGATTGCTTTCTTAATTCCCTTTTGGATTGCTCATTGTTGGTATATAGAAAGAGAACTGGTTTTGTGGGTTGAGCTTTTACTCTGCCACTTTGCTTTGCTGAATTCATTTATTAGCTCTAGTAGTTTGTGTGTGTGTGTGTATTTTGAAATAATCCATCTACGGGATCTTGTCATTTGAGAGTAGAGATAGCTTTAGTTGTTCCTTTTTGATTTAGATGCCATTTCTCTCTCTCTCTCTCTCTTTTTTTCCTAATTGCTCTGGCTAGAACTTTCAGTACAATGTTGAATAGCAGTGGTGAGGGAAGGCATGCTCGTCTTATTCTTGATCTTAGTGGGAAAGCTTTCAGTCTTTTACCATTGAGTTTGATGCTAGTTGTGGGTTTTTCATAGATGCCTTTCATCACGTTGAAGTTTTCTTCTATTCCTGGTTTTCTGAGTGGCTTTATCATAAAAAGCTGTTAGATGTTGTCACATACTTTGCATCAATTGAAAGGATCATGTGTTTTTTCTTTCACTCTATTAATGTGTGTTATTACACTGATTAATTTTGTGTCTGTGTTGAACCGCCTTGTATTCCTGAAATAAATCCCACTGGGTCAAGGTCAATGATTCTTTTTAAAATTTTGTTGGGGTTTGTTTGCTGCTATTTTGTTGAGGTTTTTTGCATTTTGTTCATAAGGGATATTGGTATGTAGTTTCTTGTGGTGTCTTTATCTGGCTTTGATATCAGGATAGTATTGGCCTTCTAGAATGAGTTAGGAATTGTGTCTTCTCCCTCAGTGTTTTGGAAGAGTTTTAGAAGGATTGGTGTTAAAGCTTTAAATGTTCAGTAGAGTTTACCAGTGAAGCTGCCCTTGGACTTTTCTTTGCTAGAATGTTTGATCACTGATTCAATCTCTACTTGTCCTAGATCTGTTCAGATTTTCTATTTCTTCTTGAATCAGTTTTGGGAATTTGTGTGTTTCCAGGAATTTGTCCATTTCATCTAATTTATCTAATTTGGTAGTGTATAACTATTCATAATATTCTCTTATCGTTCTTTTTGTTTCTTTAAGGTTGGTGGTAACGTCCTCACTATCATGTCTGATTATAGTTATTTGCATTTCCTCTCTTTGTTTTTCTTTGTCGTTCCAGCTGAAGGTTTGTCAATTTTGTTGATATTCTCAAAGAACCAACTTTGGGTTTTGTTGATTCTCTCTATTGTTTTCCTGTTATTTATTTCATTTATCTGAACTCTAATCCTTATTTTCTTCCTCTGCTAGCTTTTGGTTTAGTTTATTCTTCCTTTTCTAGTTCCTTAGTGTCAAGTTAGGCTTTTCATTTGAGAACTTTCTTTTTTTTAATGTAAATTTCTCTCTGAGCATCGCTTTTGCTGCCATCCCATACATTTTGGTGTGTTGCATTTTCATTTCTGTTCATCTCAAAGTGGTCTCTCATATCCTTTATGATTTCTTCTTTGACCCATCGACTGTTTGAGTATGTTGTTTAGGGGCACCTGGCTGGCTCAGTTGGTTAAGCGTCCAACTCTTGATTTCAGCTCAGGTCATAGTTTCATGGTTTGTGAGACTGAGCCCTGCATCAGGCTCTGCGCTGACAGCATGGGCCCTACTTGGGATTCTCTCTCTCTGCCCCTCCCCTGCTCTCTCTCTCGAAAAGAAATAAATAAACATTAAAAAAGGAGTATGTTGTTTAATTTCTACGTATTTGTGAATTTTTCAGTTTTCCTTCTGTTACCGATTTCAAGTTTTATTCCATTG